TGGCAGTTTGCAGGGAGTTTGAATCCCGGCGAATGGGCTGGCTACCTGGTAGTTTTCGCGGATTTTTGCTGCCTTATAAGCCAATCTCATTTAAAAAGTCTTTCACGAAGATCTCCTCTGAGATTAGGTTTAGATTGGTTTGTTAGATTATGGCAAAACACGCAAAGGGCGATCTGTCTAAAGAAAGTATGTTTCGTGAAAGACTTTCGAAGGGAAACTTATCTTCTACCCGTGTTACACATAGGTAAATTCACGAAAACGCCCATGTGGTGAGCCAGTCACAGGGGTTTGAATCCGTGTCAAACTACAATTATATTAATAGTTCTCGTGTATTTTATCATGAGCTAAATAAAATAAAATACAATATTATAAAATAAAATACAAAGTCACTTTTTGCTATTGAAATAGCAATAATTCTGTATTATACAGGCCATCATTTTGCGTCTATTATGAGATTTTGATCTTTTCCGTTACCCAAACTAGCCCACAACGGAACACTGGTAGTTCTGTCCGGCGTTTGAATCCCGGCGAAAGGGCTAGCTGCATGGGTGGTTCCGTGTTTTTCTCATGTGTCACGTGTACACAAGCCGGTTTCCCTTAGAAAGTCCTCCAGGAAGGCATCCTTCCCCTTATGTAAAATAACCCTCGAGTGCTTTGCCACAATCATAGACCAAACGATTACTACGCAACATGCTTAAAATATTTTGTGTTTAAAAGTTTATGCGTGAAAGTTTGCTCCCGTTAAATGAAATATAATTTTCCTATGTGTGACATGGATATGAGTGAGTTTTACTTAGAAAGCCCACCACGGCCACTAGTGTATCCTATAGACAGACAGAACTCGTTTGCTTTGCTATATTCAAATAATCGGATAAAGTTTGACAACAAAGACTAATAAATGCATATACAGAAATAAAATAAAATAAATGCACATTACAAAACTAAAATAAATGCATATAACATGAGAAATGAGATCACAACAAATTTTTAATTATTTTTTAATATACTAATTCCTAAATTGCATTATTTTCAAATTTTATTTCATTTTTATGTATGTATTAATGTATATTTTATATGTGCGAAAGTGCGCTTTTTTAGCATATCCATATGCATTAAACAAATTTGATTTGAAAATACCTGTAGGTGAGATTTTCGTAACTTTAAAAAAATTACTCGCAAAATAATCTCTGAGAAAATATATATATTAAGAAAATAAATTTTTTTCTCTCTACTTGATTCTGTGTAAAATAATTTAAAAATTAGCTTATTCCTTTTCTTTCTATATCGAAAACAACTTATTTTTTTAAATCTTGCTGACAGACCGGAAGTATTTAGAAGTCTAAAATTGATCTTTTGAACACATGTTTCTGTCTTATTTCCTTGTGGACGTAGATAAACAGATATAAATTTTCGTGGAAAATTGAAATGGAAATTTCGTGAAAAATTCCCTTGAAGAAGACATTGACAGATTTCACCACTAAAAGACCTTTCCTCTAACATCGGCTGCTAATCACCATTAATCTAACATTAAGCGGCTAATCGCACCACCGGTGCGATTAGCCGCTTAAGCTATTCGCACCAACATTAACCACGCATGCGCATTGAGTTGTCAGATCCGTCAATTGAACCCAATCGAAAGGAACAATTTACTACTTACGCTAACTTTGTTGTAGTGAATCTTCTTTTAAAAAAAAAGGCGGCTTTCTACCTTGGCGTAGTTTATCAATTTTTTAGCGTTGGCGACTTTCAAAAGTTTAGAAAGGAAATTGGGTTCCTTTTCTTCATAAATTTTAAAAGAAACAACACATTTCCTTTTATTACATGTATAAAAAAGGACAGATTAAATAGTATATATAAAAAAAAGGGTAGATTTTTATGTTCACAATGTATGTTTATCGTTTTCCTGAACGGATTGGATGAATAGTTTAAATGTCTGATTTGGGGCGGGACAAAATCTTGTTTACATTTTTTGTACTTCTTAGAATAACATTTAGCTTTAAAGATGTGTTTTGCCACAATCAAGACTTTAATTCATTTCTCTTTGAAAATTGTCGTCCGAGAAAAGATGCTAAAAATTAGACAGAGGATTTCTGTGTAGAAAATTTAGACATGAAATAAGTTAAAAGCGATTATATCAACTATTAAATGAATTATTCTGTATGCCTGCTTATTTTTTTTTATGGAAATACTTGGCATTTTCAGGAGACAAAAAGTGCTTCAAAGAACTTTGAAATATTAGTACAAACATATTAATCAATTAAATTGAAATAAATAATGGGATGTAATTTAATGTAAGAGATTTAGATTTAAAAATCTGCACACACAAATGATTTATCAGATTTCATAAGGTTTTATTTCATAAATAATTTTGATTTTGAAATATGGCATTTGAACCTATAAACCTGTGTGGATACTGAAAAAGTGATGAATATATAAGAATATTATCATTTTCAGTAAGTTTTCTTATTGAATAATAAATTCTGACAGTCCTATGCTATAAAAATAGGGTCTAAGTTTGCATAAAAATTCCTCTGTTAAATAAAAGAATTTAGGTAATTTCTGTAGCCTTTTTGTCAAAACACTAAAGATTTTTTAACTAATTACTCGTCCTCGCTTGCAATTAGAACCATCATTAAATCCCTATTTTATCTAATAATTTCCTGAACATTATCATGTATATAGATTGACCTTGTCTTTGAAACTGATAATTATTACTTGCAAATTATTCTCTTGCTGGTGAACTATTAACAACATTCGCTCTCACTACCGCCTGCCTTACGGAAATTGGCGTAAAATGCTGGTACCTGGGCTGATTTTGCGCATGCGCGAAAGTAGGTGGTGTGAATAGCCTGTTAGCTATCCGCACCGTCGGTGCGATTAGCCACTGCGCTCTAACATAGGGGCAGCCACATTTATCTTTGGCTTCTGCTTTGTAATGTAGTAGTATAACTAAACCCGTTGGCCCTGTTTGCCCGAATAGCTTCTGAGAGCCTTTCGCATTTGAATTCGTCGAAGCTTGAATTACTGAAAGACTTCATGTTCCCAAAGCAATCAGTCAAACACCAATAAAATTTTGTTGTCAATATTTCTACTCCCTCCTCCTTTCTGTGAGTTCTTCAAATCCAGGAAAGGGTAATGTGTGCAACTGGTGCATATGAGAAAAATATTTCTATGCTTTTTTTTGTATGACTTTTATAGTGGAACATTTAAAAAAAACTGCTTTATATGCAAAGTTTTTCTCTGATGAATGAACTCAGCTGAAAACATGTTTCTATCTTCTGTACATTAAAAAAAAAAAAAAAAAAAAAATGCCTGATGTTCTTTTAAGTGAATTAAATTCTTTTTGTGCTCTTATTACATTTTTCTAAATTTTTCGATTCCTAAGTTTTTCTATTCCTCTTTTCATATAACACACAAGTAATTTTATAAATATGAGTGAACCCTGAGCGCTAAGTTCGGCAAGGTCGCAAAAGACTGGTAATTTGAAGGAGTTCAAATGAAGGTAAATGGGTTAATTGCAGGGGAGGTTTCCTGGTTTTCCTCATGTGGACGTAATACGAATTCTTTCCCTTTAAACGTCCTGAGACGTGACTCTTTTAGTCATATAATCCTCAAGTGCTGTGAACAATTCTAATCTAAATTTTTATGATATAAAATTTCATATAAATTTATTATAGATGCCGCTTTTGTGTACATTATATTTATGAATACAAACCTGCGATTAATATTGAGAATACTATTGATGCAATTGATGTTATGATTAATACTAAAAGTAATGTTTAAGCTAAAAATCAGTTTGAACCCTTTTTTATAATAAGGTAACATGCTCCAGAGATTTCCCGACAAAGACTTTGGATTATGGTAAAGCACACAGGGGTTAGTTGCCTAAAAGAAGGTATATTTTGAGGGAAACACACTGGTAATTCACAATACATTTGTGAAAAACCTCGAAACCTTCCATGCAGCCTCTAGGATTTTAACATGCTCAACTATCTTACCTCTCGACCGTTACTGGGCTTTCTCAGCTTACGAAATATGTATTTTAAGTTGGTTATTTACATAACTTATGAACAAAATAACATGACAGATTATAAATAGTGCATTTTACTGACAAAAAAATCTTCGGAAAAAAATACTGTAAAGAATAAGAATGATGCAGTTAACTTAACTGCAGTCGATAAGGAGCGCTGGTGTGTATGTTTTTTCAGCGAAAATTATTTTGCACGTGTTGTCATAAAACAAAAAATATTCATAAATAATTTTTTTACAGTTGTTAAAATAGTCATGGATTATATGTTTTAAAGAGAATATCTTCTTAGAAAATTTTCAAAATTAAATTGGCTTGAATTCACATTACATATGGGGAAAATTATAAAGACACCAAGGCGCTAACCTGTTCGGTTGCCAGCGACAAATCCAGGACAAACATCATACATCCAGCATTCTTATTCACTCACTGCAGTGAACTTAAATATTTTTTTATATATTATTATTAGTATTAAAATAATAAAAATATTTACTTTAATAAAAACTGTTGTTTAAGACACTTTTTTTTGGTTAGGGATTTCACGTGAATAATTAATTCTGCCTTAAAGCAAGACCATTTCTTAGGCATATAACTTATTCTTAGGCTTATCACTGTCATCTTAGAACTTAATGCTTCAAAAAATTGAATGCTAGGATTCCTAGGAAAGAAATTATCCTAAAAAATATATTCCACAAAAAATTTTGAATTATATTCTTATAATGACTTTATTATAATGACTTTATTCTTTAGATTTCCTTTTTCTGGCAAAGGATCAAAGAGATACATCTTCTGTGTCAAAGTTGCAAGTTTTATTGCTTGAAATCCACTGTCTGAATTTTAAATATGTTTTCTGATAAATTCTACGCTAAAAGGAAGGAGTCTCTTTTGTAAAAAACTTACTATCTATTTTATTATCACTCACAAGAGGGCGCTCTTGTGTTATGAAATCTATTTGTTTACTAACTTGAAAAGTTAAGGTGAATGTAAGCTTGGTTTCTTGTATAATTTCTGTTTGTTTGTAAAAGCGTAAAAACTAATTAAAGAAATGTGTAATTATTCTGAACTTAATTAGCGTTGATATTGATCACCATTGATTCAAAATATGACATCGAGTAAGTGTCCGAATAATACCGAAATTTTCTAATTCATTTGCATTTGAAACCGAAATGAATAAATTTGACTATCATCTGTGTATTTCTGGAAGCTGAAACATTATGACTCATCATACAATTCATAATCTTCTTACAAAAGAAAATCTTTTAGCGAGAACTAAGTTAATATGCGTGACGGGGGGAAATATGTTAGGAAAAGGGGCGTTAACAGGAAGCATTTAAAAAGTCTCCAAATATTTTTCAGCCTAATTGTTCAAGTTCATTTCTTATATTACTGACGTGATCAAAATTACTTCAAGCAAACATAAAACTTTATTTTTTACATGAAAAGAAGGTGTACTTATCCAATAAAATAGAAAATTTATTGGAATATATGCAAGGAACTGTATCTTTCATTCGAAAAATATGTGATCTGAACTGGTATGTACTAAAAGGAAAAAAAAAAAATATATATATATATATAGGAAAATCGCACCTCAAATTTCGTTTGTATTGAAATAAGTAAATTATAAAATTGAGCAAAGTACCTTTTTAATGCCAGATTTTTATACATGATCGATTTTTAGACGAATTCAGATTTTCATATGGTTCCTTCATTTAATAGAATGTTCTATTAGCAGGTCTTAATCTTTTTATGAATTTTTTTAAAGCTTAATAAGAAATAGGTTTTTATAAACCCAATAATTTATTAGTCCTTAATATAAATTTGATGTTTTCATGGATGCCTTTTTCTAAATTAAAAAAAAAATTCAAAAGGCAGACAGTAATGCTGCATGATGAAGATATTTACACCACTTTTTGAATTATTAATAAGAAGAATTATATATCGATATATTCTTAGGCTTATAACTTTGAGATTTGGCCATACTTATATTTACCATCTTCTTCAGATCGAATATTATCTTGAAATTTTAAACCATATTTTGCCAATGTTTGTATTAAATTAAAAGTTTAATTCTGAGAAAAAATATGAAATTTTTAGGGGAAGCAAAAATTTAGCATTAAGAAGTGTAGCATTATTTTATAATGAAGATAAATTTATATGTGAAGAAGTAATTGCTACTTCTGTGATGTAAAACTACATCTTCATTTTTTTGCATGGAATGATATATTGACAATGTTTACTTCTTTAAACACTAAAACTGATTGCCAGTTATTCATCATTATTTTGCCACTGACTTGATATGGTTTTTAATTTGTGATTTAAAGTATGACATCATGCATAGTAAGTCAACTTGCATTTAATTGATCAAAGAGCAAAAAACAGAGCATGATCTTTCAGATAATTATATTACACTGTCAGTTATTAAAAGTAAAATTTAGGAATCTAAATAAATAGTACAGAATTGCCCACTTATTTGTTTGGCGCTTTTTACAAGGCTAAGAAGAATTGGATTTTTGCCAATTTTCTTTCAGTTTTTAAGTGAAAATAGGTTGACGTGTACATAGATAAAGTCAAGAGTACACAATGCCATTTTTGTACAATTCTTGGATTTTTTTTTTTTTTAAAGTGAAAATAGGTCGATGTGTACATGGTTAGTATGTGCAATTCTTAAAAACGCACCAAGCAGTGGGTGACTCTGCAATTTCCCCAATAAATATTTAAATCTCTGGAATATTTTTAATGGATCATTACTACTATTATCATTACTTTGTGAGAATTTTAAATAGCTCTTCATTGTATAAATATCTTTTATTACACATATTATTAATTTTTTAAATAAAATTCTTTATTTTACAGCATTTGACATGAATCTTATTGAAAGCGAAGCTGCATCAACTGCAGCCAAACATGTAGCTAACATGCTACAACGCCCTGATCAGCTGGAAAAAGTAGACAAATATATGCATCGAGAATTACGTAAAAAGGTAAATAATCTTCATATATCAATTAGAGTTGTATGTTAAATTGAAATTTATGTGTTAATTTTATGTGTGTGTGTGGTTATGGCAAAGCCTCGAGGGCTATCTGCCTAATGGGAGGGATGCCTTTGTGGAGGACTTTCTAAGGGAAACTGGCTCGTATACATGTTCATGGAGAAAACCACGAAAATGGCCATGTAGCCAGCCCGTTCGCAGGATTCGAACCTCGGACCAAACTACCAGTGTTCAGCGACTTTACCACTTGGCAGCTGGTGGGCACGTAATTCTTAATTTTTACAAGTGTATTTTGCAGAAAGTGATGCACAATGATATGGTAATGATGAGCTTAAAAAGATGTTAGCTACATGCAGTTTACAAGTGTATTTTGCAGTCTTATAAAAATATAACCATAGTTTAATAATGACAAAAAATTTGTTGTCTTTAAAAATATTCACATATACTGGTGTTAAAATTATGTGAATATTATAGTTTGTGTATGGAAAAGATAATTTTTATCATTGTGATTGGAAATTTTTGCAAATCTTTCAGTATACTATACTGCATTGTTTCAATCATTACGTGGTGAACATGCTTTGTCTCTATGTACAACATATATGAACTTTTATGTACACGCCATTATATATATATATATATATATATATATATAATTCTAAAACAATTCTTTTGAAAATGACATGCCAAGTATTTTCACGCATTAAGCTGCAGAAAAAGTTATCATTAAAGACATAAAGTAAGAAATTTAGAACTAATATTTCACAAAGACCAAAAATTGAAATTCATAATTTCAATATATGAAATTCAGGTTGATCTTTACATTATGGTAACTTGGCGATTTTTTGGCGAAAATTTGGCGACCAACTCTCCTACAGCAACCCTCTATTTTTTTTCCCCGCCGCCATTTTGTCTTCACGAAGTAAAAGACATGTTCTTTTCTTTTTATCTCCTGAACACTTCTTCCAAACAATCTACTAGCCGAATTACACTTATGCTAGAAATTTTATCAAACAAAACTGCTTAATCATGACAAATATTCATTGCAAAATTAGGGAAAACTGCACAATACCATTCTCCTTACGCATTTTCAAAATAACACATACACATAAAACCATGTACACGCCGACTTATTTTTACTTAAAAAAACATCCCAGAATTGCACAAAAAATGGCATTGCGCACACTCTTCACTATATCCATGTACACTGCTTTTTCTCATAAATTACAAAAAATTTCACGAAAATACATGATAATTTTCTCAATCTTTAAACCCGGTAAAAAGAACATATATGAAATACCTGATCGCGAAAAAGTATTTACCTTTACAAATATGAACATTTTCCACATATAAAATAAATAAAATATCCAAAAACTTTTACCTCTAAATCAGTATTACATTATACACGTCACCAACGAATTCATACCGCAAGCATTACAATACTTAGTATCAATATTTAAATTATTTCCATGCACGTTTATTTCAACTTAAACGTATACCAAATTCCTACAAGCATAAAATTCACAAAATAAACTATCATTTCATTAAAATATCACTAAACCATGTACACGTCGACTTATTTTTACTTAAAAAAAACATCCCAGAATTGCACAAAAATGGCATTGTGCACACTCTCACTATATCCATGTACACTGCTTTTTTCTCATAAATTAAAAAAATTTCACGAAAATACATGACAATTTTCTCAATCTTTAAACCGGTAAAAAAGAACATATATGAAATTACATGATCGCGAAAAGTTGGTTGCCCTTTACAAATATGAACATTTCCACATATAAAATAAATAGAATATCCAAAAACGTTTACCTCTAAATCATCTATACATTATACACGTCACCAACGAATTCATACCTCAAGCATTACAAATACTTAATATCAAATATTTAAATTATTTCCATGCACATTATTTCAACTTAAACGTATACCAAATTCCTACAAACATAAAATTCACAAAATAACTATCATTTTCATTAAAACTAATTAAATTCAAAAACACTACTTAAAATATAAATGAGCACATACATTAAATTAATAAAAATTACCTTACAATCCTAATTACTTTACTAAATCATTGCTAATAACAATTTTCCCAATAATACCAAATTCCTTCCACCTTTACATTTACAACAATGCATAAAAATAATATCCTCAAATAATTAAAAATACTAACTTACCTAATCTTCTTCAGAATCTTGATTACGTGGCGGATATACTTTTCTTACTTCTGTTTCAGAATCTTAAATCATACTTATCTTTCAAAGCAAAGGATACCAGGTAAAATAAATAACATAATAAAACATCTTTATTCTCTCTCGCACAACCTTAAAAACATTTATTACAATCCTTTCCAATACCACTAAATACCCATTTCGAATTCACTTTAGTTACGGCCATGGGATCCAAAAATTCACAAACACTATTTCACAAACACAGAATAAAGCCAAATACAAAATTGCCAGAGTTTTTCCCGATTAAAGAACATAATTCGTCCATTAATATCACAAATATCCATGATCTCTCATTTCGCTCACACAAAATAATGCGTAATCAGAACTGAATACTTACTCACATTCTTAACAAAGTCTAACTAACCTAATCTTCTTCCGAATCTCCTTACATGGTGGATACACTTTATTATGGATTCAATAAAATTACTGAATGATTTTTTTTTTCCGAATTTGATAGAATTTCATAAAAAAAAAATTCTCTTAATCACATCTACAATTCACTTTAGAAGTGCCATACAATCCCAAAATATTCAACCCTACTTCACACAACACAAATGAAGCTTAATACAAAATAATATACATCCCAGATACTTGTCCAAATTCCCCCCCCCTTTTCGATTAAAGAACCGTAATTCGTCCATTAATAACATACATATCCCATGATCTCTCATTTTCCCCACACAAATAATGCGTAATCGGAACTGAGTATTGCTCACATTATTACCAAAGTCCCAGGTAGTAACCTTTATCGCCTCCAAAATGTCGCCAAACTACCAGTTACCATATTGTAAAGATCAACCGAAATTCATAATAATATATGTGAACGAATATACGTGAAGCTGATGCACGTACAGGGCACTGTAAAAGCGTTCGAAAAATTGCTTAGTTCTTATTTTGTGTCTACTGTTGCAATCGTAATAATTTGTGCAACATTTATCTTTTTTATGATTTTTTTTGGTGGTTGCTTGTTGCTATTGTTATTCTACATAAAGAAAGGTAAGTGCAGTTACATATTATGTTAAACTTAGGTTAGCTTTTTAATTCAGAAAAGCGACGATTTGATCATAATTACTCAGTTTTTTTTCCCCCCCCCCATGAACCATTTGTTTATTAAACTAAAAATTATTATGTTTTGAGAATAACAGGATTGACATACTTATGGAGTACCACTGAATTTAAAATATATCTATTTGAGATTTGAAGTAAAATAAAAATATACAAGGTATTCTGAAATCAAAACTTGGCCATTCTTCGATTTTTAGCTATGTGGAAAGCCGAAGGAAAATGTTTCGTTATTTCGTTACGTCTTAAATACATACATACTTTAAATTTGATTTATTTACCTTATAAACAAAAGAGTACCACCACCTCCTTGAATTATTTGGTATTGATCTAATGGTTCATATATTTTCCAAGCAATGGTTTATATTCACTTTTTCAGGAGTAAGGTAAAATATTTCAAACAGTTACTTTCCGAGAGTTTTTAAGAAGATGTGTTTTTATGCAATAGTTTTTATAATAGTTATTTTCTACTTTTATTTTTACTTCCACTTTTCTGTTTTCATTTTTTCCCAGATGTCGGAAGAAAAATAGAAAAAACTGTCTATCACAATGTAATGAAGACAAAGAAAGTGAGACAAAGACTTAAGAAACCAGAACTTTACAATTACTCAGATTTTCCAAAACCCCAATGAATACCTAAGCTGACGTTACTAGCACTAGTTGCCCATCAATGTGTCAGCTACCACTGAAATTACCAAAGGAGCCTAATATTCACAAAAAGTTAGAAAGTGTTTTCACCCGAACTACCTTTAACTTCATTGCAGCCGGTCTGAAAAACAGAAGAAATACTATTGAAATCAACAATTTCTTCAGTAGCTATGCATTTATCTGTGCTTGATGATTCTGGATTGTGCCCAAGTCCATTACTGCCATCCCAAGTTCCAGCCTTAATAGAAAATGTTCCTGGATAATACCAAAACCTGGTTTCGAGTTTCAGTTTCTCAAAAGAGAAAAATAGACATAAATTTTTTTAGATGTACTTTTGTCGAATCTTGCCAAACAATGAAAGAGTTAATCCAATTTCTTAGAATGATTACGAAAGAATAAACCTCTTAGTTCGGAATTTCAAATTTTATTTAAAAAAAAAAATAAGCATTGGTGCAATGTTATTGAAAAAAATTATCTATACCATTCAGTTTTTAGCCGAACAAAACTTAGCCTTCCGTGGTTCCAGTAACAAATTATTCAAAAGAAATAATCATTTTTTAAAGTTTTATAGAAGTGATCACAAAATTTGACCCTATCATGCCTGTCTAAATTAATAAAATTCAAAATAAAAAAATATGCTTCATTACCTTGGAGATAAAATTCAAAATAAAACAATTAACCTATTAGGGGATAATATAAAGCAAATTATTTTAAATAAGAGTCAAACAGGCAAACAGAAGAAACACTATTGAAATCAACAATTTCTTCAGTAGCTATGCATTTATCTGTGCTTGATGATTCTGGATTGTGCCCAAGTCCATTACTGCTATCCCAAGTTCCAGCCTTAATAGAAAATGTTCCTGGATAATACCAAAACCTGGTTTCGAGTTTCAGTTTCGCAAAAGAGAAAAATAGACATAAATTTTTTTAGATGTACTTTTGTCGAATCTTGCCAAACAATGAAAGAGTTAATCCAATTTCTTAGAATGATTACGAAAGAAATAACCTCTTAGTTCGAATTTCAAATTTTATTAAAAAAAAATTAAGCATTGTATTGAAAAAAATTCTATACCATTCAGTTTTTAGCCGAACAAAACTTAGCCTTCCGTGGTTCCAGTAACAAATTATTCAAAAGAAATAATCATTTTTTAAAGTTTTATAGAAGTGATCACAAAATTTGACCCTATCATGCCTGTCTAAATTAATAAAATTCAAAATAAAAAAATATGCTTCATTACCTTGGAGATAAAATTCAAAATAGAACAATTAGCCTATTAGGGGATAATATAAAGCAAATTATTTTAAATAAGAGTCAAACAGGCAAAGCATTTTTGCATTTTACTTGATTTTACCCCTGATGTCAGCCATCAAGAACAGATATCAATTGTATGAGGTATCTTAGTTTACAAAATTCAGGCAAGAGTATTGAAGAAAGGTTTTTAGTATTTTGTATTATAACAGATATGACAGGTGGAGGACGAACATCATTCTTATTAAATATCATTCTATTATATTATTCACTTTTATCTAAAGTGGCTTAGGTATTAGCAATTTATGCAGCCAAGAATACGATAATGGCTCAAAGAAGAGAGGTAAACAGTTTTCTGAGTAATTAATGCTCAAATCGTTGCTTTTCCCAATTAAAAAGTTAACCTTAAGTTTAACAAAATATATAACAGCGCTTACCTTTTTTCACCTAGAAAAAGAATAACAAGAAGCAACTTAAAAAAAAAAAAAATTAAACGTTGCTCAGATTACTATGATTACAACAGTAGAAACAAAATAAGGATTAACAAATTTGTCGAACGCGTCTACCCTTACACTCACTATGGCATCAAGTATTTTCACGTTCAAATAAGACATAAGAGAACACCATAGACGAACTGCTGCCCTGGTTATAACTTTTGACTAAATAAGACAGTGTGCTAGGAGGAAGGGCCACTCAGACTTGGCAAGCTCAACATTGCCTTTTCACAGTTAAATGCTCCAACCCCTAGAGGTGATCCAAGAGGCCGCTAACCTATATGTCAAGTCGACAAGCTAAGACTAAGCTGGGTCGATAGGAATACTTAGCAACTCACATTCCACATCCCCGTTCTGGAGGGATGGTAAAAACATCTGCCATCAATCATCTGCCCCGAACAGCAGAACGAAGTCACTTAAACACTATCAGACAGACCTGGCCACCAATCCGGCCTGCCAACACTATGTCATGGTATACAGAAGTTGGCTTTAGGTGCCCCGTGGGGAAAGCGAAGTAAGGATACCAATATGCAGTTTTGGGCTTCAGGTGGCCAATGGAAACCTCAAGCAGTTTAAAGCTCACTGAATTCGCCAACTTCAACGACGGGAGTGCTTCACCCCGGACAACCATGAATATCTGACTATATAGCTTCACAATCAACAGAACAGACAAGACAGTACCATACGGTCCCTGTCGAGCCTGAAACAGCCATTGTCAGAGATTACTCCATTCCTGTGGCGACTGATTTTAAACACCCGTGGCCGAGACTCCCTAGGTACAGATCCTAATCAGTAGCTACTCAAGTTTTACCTGAGTCGACCCCGGAGGGGCGTTCAAATTAGACAAGAATTTTACTGTTCAGACAGGCCAGCGAGACAAACTGCTTGTTTTAATGATTGCTCTGCACCTTTTTGTGTCAGCGCCGTCGTACGCGGCATGACCTTGCACCTATTGTCGGTGCAGGCCTGTACACAGCATCCTGTTTAAACTTAAAAAAAAAATCTACGAATTGCACAATCTAGGTATTGCACACAGATCAACCAAATAAACTAAACTAAATTACAAACAATTCAAAAAACAACAATAACGACAAAAATGCATTAAAAACAATGAACATTCTACAAAATAAAAACATTAAAATAAAATGCACTTGCCATAATACATTCATTAATTAAATTTCACCAGTAACACAATGTCTGTGAACAAAAGTGCCACCATTTTGCTATATCACATGTCTTTCTGAGATTCAAAATTTCGAAAGTAGCGATAAAAACTTCCTCTAAAGTTAACTTACTACACCAAAACCACAATCTAAATCTTAAACTCTGCTGAAAATTTGACTGCAAATCCACACAAGAACTATCAGAAACGCCCTTCTTCGTCCGAGTTCTCATAGCAGCTTCGCATTTTGCACTCCGTTAAGTCACACATAAATTCCAAAAATACACTTCAATCCTCATAAACACACTTGTTAACAAAAGACTCATTAACAACTCCAACATCGTACCTTTAAATACTAAATTTACTTTCCACACAATCTGAAATGCGCAATTGAAATCTTCCCACCACGTCTATCATTGCAAAATAGGCCATTTCAAAATACGCATGACATGAACCAATGAGCAATTAAACCACTCCAGGAAAAGATTTTTCAACATCAACAGGGTTGCCATACAACATGCAATCGCGCTAAAAACCAGCGCAGAACAAACACATATCGCCACATTTAGTGAAATTAGGGTGCATATTAGATTAGAGCCAAAATATGTAATAACAATTATAATTTAAATTAGCAATAGCCTCTTAATTTTTCATTATAATTTGGGTACTTTCTCTCTCTATTCTAAAATATAGTGATAACGTTCTCTGGCCTTTGTCATTTTTAGATTATTACATATCATATGACTTTTACACAATGATGATGACAAAACTAATCTCGAACTTGAACTCAAAATTTCTGGAACCGAACCTAACCCTGACAAGAATCTCGGGGCAAAGTGTAATGTTGCAAAGTAGGCAACCCAGAATTTTATGAAAATGTACTTATCTGGCAACCCACTAATAGTTGTACATCAGTGATGCCCAACCTTTGGCCTATTGCGAGCACATTTCCAAAACATCAACGTTTTTGTTAAACATATTTCCAATCTTATGTGATACATCTGAAATATTAATTTCGGCAAATGGGGTTTGAGATGAATAATAATATTGGTTGAACTTTATTGAAATGAGAGAAGTGGAGTTGAACATTTTTTTCAGTGCATTTTGGTTTTCTGATTATTTCTCTGTTTCAATTGCCTCGGTTGTTAATATGGCTTGATAAATTTGGAAAATGGGTGAAATTTTTTTCTTTCATCTGATTTATCCACAAATTTATCTTTATCTGAAAAGTAGTTACAGTCCCAGTCCATTGAAAAGGGTTTTTCTTTTCCCTGGAGATCTTCGTTCAGTTTTTTTCAGTTTAGCTGTTATATCCGTGAGAAAATACAGATGGGATAACCAATTACTATCGTCCAATTTATAAATTTTGTTTCCGGATTCCAAAAACTGCTTTATTGGCGAAAGAAGTTCTACAAATCGTTGAAGTACTTTTCTCCTGCTGAATCATCTAACATCGGAATGAAGCAATGAGATTCATGTTCGTTATTAAGTTCCTCAGTCAATCAATTATTTTATAACGTCTCAATCAATTATTTTATAACAATCAATTATTTTATAACGTCTTGCAAGATATCTCTTATGACTATAAATGCTTATCATATTTTAATGATTAAGAAATATAAATGAATGGTTATTTTTAAAATATTTTTTGTTCATAGTACCCAATCGGGCTGGCGAACACATACAAAACGATCGGCGAGCACAAGGTTGGACACCGCTGTTGTACATGCATTATACCAGTACATATATGCCACCATCCATCTGGGTGGTGATGGTGGAAGTGTATGTTTGAAATTCAAGAGTCATGTTGGTGATTTCTACGTTGAGTTTTTTTTTTTCTTGTAATGCCACTGTAGAGTTTGTGCACTAATGAGAAAGGAAGTGTTGCATTTTTTCAGAAATATCATGATGGCATTTGCCTAGTAGTAGACTGTGTTGGAATGCACATTCCATGAAGTTAATCTGTGCAATTCTTTGATGTTTTTCAAGTTAAAGCAGGTTGATATGTACATGCCAAATTTCTCTGCATTGCCGAGAATTCTTCAATTCTCTGATTTATTTTAAAGTTAAAACAGATTGCTTTGCATGAATACAGAAAACTGGGAAAAAGGGAAGATAAGTATTTTATTATGGATGTTTGTTGCTTTTGTAATTTATTATTGTTTCATGTAATTTTGAGTAATGTTTGTTTTATATAATTATTAGTGCCTCATTATGGATATTTCTTGCATTTTTAATTTTGTTAATTCATTGCTGTTTTTATTTAATTTTCAGTGCACTGCCAATTTTTAAAATGGCTAATGTTTTTTGCATGTTAGGTTAGCAAAAAATTAGTTGCTAGTGACTTTGTGGGAGGGTTGGTGGATAATATAAGAATACTGATTTTTCATTCGTAAAATTAATTATTAAACATTCTTTGGTACTTACATATTATCTGTTGACGTATCCAAGTAGCATTTCCTGATTATGGATGACTGTGCCCTTTAGTATTCTGCAGTAATGATTGGCGACTGTTGCTGAAATTTCTGCTTATGGTCAACGGGATAATATGTAAGTACACATTCTTTTATTTCACGAATTGGAGAATGTTGCAATTAATCATTACGTTTAAAAATTAATATTTAAAAAAATATTCATTGGGTAGTAGGGCATGTGATTCTAAATTCATTTTCGTATCAGCAAATTCTTGGTCATTATTTTTACTGCTTAAGAGATTGTTATGTAATTTTAGCTCTTATGCAAATGATAATATTTGGTGATACTTCATTTTTTTAAAAAGAAAGTTAATTTTTAATATATACAGGCCTCAGTTGATGGTGTTTTGAAAACTGCTATGCAGACTCAGTTGGATGGTGTACAGACTGGTTTATATCAATTGGATGCTGCTTTGACTGAAATCAAAGAAATTAATAAAGAGTATACCATTTTTCATTTATCCATTATTTTCATTTTATCATAGAACTAAAACTGTTTTGCTCATCATGTAAAATTTAAGCAATTTTGCTTAAAATTTTGATAGAAAATCGTAATAGAGTAGAAAATTTTAGGTGAATTGTGTTATTTAATTATTTGTTTGATGTAGGTCTTTATTAGACATTTTTATTTAAACATGTGTAATTAACTTGAAATTATCTGTGTAAATTTTATTCTCCTAGTCAAGTTGAATTTTTTTGGGCTGAGCTAACATTTAAATTTCTTGTCTTGAGAATTTTTTTCTTTAATTAAAATTTAGTGACAATATTTAAAATGAAAACTAGATTTCTAGTTTTCATTTTAAATATTGTCACTGGTTATTTTTTTGCCATATTTTGCCATTTTTTTTAGTACTATGGATTACACAATTTAGCAGTTACTTAATGATGAAGAGACTGCATAAGATTCTTTCAGGGTAAAGGAATATTTCATAGCAACAAACTTTGTTAATTAAGTCATGAATTGTTAATTAAAAACTGCTTCAAAATTAGATCTGCAAAGAATTTTTATTTTACATTATTTCCATAAATGAATACTAGTGCTGCCATCTGTTATACATTAGAGAATTAAAAGCCATGATTGCATGTATTTTAAATGAAATTTTGCAGCTTTCATCTGGGAGATAAAAACTGATAGAAAAGGTGGGATGCCTGATGTCCCACCGCTCGTCAAAGGGTTAAAACAACTAAAAATTGAATTTATGCTGCTGTGTTTTACAATTTTTTATTAGATAAAAGTTTCAGGGGTGTTTGTGCTCCAGGGAAACCCCGGAATTCCGGGGATTTTGAACTTCGATACCCGGAAATTCCGGGGATCATCGTTCAAAAGGAAGTAGGAATAATAATGAATTATTTATTTTGATCTGGGTAATTTTGTTTGCTTTGAAAGCAGAAAATGCAAGGTCAGTGTGTGTGGTGAAAACTTTTCCTTTCTTTCTCCAAAGGTAGTGATAATGCGTGAAAAGGGGGGGGGAAACTTCTTTTTTGTTCTTTCCGTATTGCGAGTTATGACTCATTCCCCCGGTTCTCGGATATTCTCTTCTGGATTCTTTTCGGCAAGTAGGCGTGGCAGAAAAAAAAGGGAGAGACTTCGTTCGACCAGATGTGCGATCACGTGACTCTTAGTTCAAAGGTCTTATCTCTCCTGGCGTGGCGCCAATAAGTAGAGAAGGGGGATTTTTCGCGGTATTAGCTTTTTGTCATTGATCGCTTCTCAACTTTTTTTTCCTCCGCTGTGTAAAATTTTCGTTTCATTTATTGATGCACGTGTAAATTTTTTGTTTCGTTTATTGAAATATTTTTTTATTTATGTACACAAGAGAATTTCACTATGAAATTTCTCGATATAAATAGTGATATTATACAATTAGAAGAAGGTGTCCGGAATGCATTTAGGTGGAATTGGATTGAACGGAGAGATGGTAATGGGGATACCATCGGCACATGGTGCAAGAAAGTAAATGTTGCTGGACGAGCATATTGTGTTTTTGTAACTCACTGCTGAAGTATGGTGGGGAAGGATTCAAGGCTTTAACAAATCATTCTAAAATTGTGACGCACATAAAATATTCAAAGTGCATTAGACATTCAATGACTTTAAGTAATCATGCTAATTCAAAAAATACTGATGACTTACTGGAGACTGATGCTCGGCCATTGGATATAGTGACAAGAAAAGCACGCCAAGAGGTATTAATAACTTCGTTTATCGCCGAGAATTCTCTTTCTTTCAATGTAGCTCCCAATTTAATTGAACTCTGCAAACAGTTGAGCCGCGATCAGACGGCACTAAACTCGTTGGAAATGTCCAGGACTACTGCATGTTATAAGATGAAATATGGGCTCGCAAAAACTATTAAGGAAAATATCATTAAAACTTTAAAGGAGACTCCATTTTCTCTAAATTTGGATGAAAGTACTAGCAATGCTCAAAGTATACTGGCAGTATTGGTGCAGTTTTATGACAACAAATCAAAATGAAGTTGTAGTTCATCATTTTGCATCTCTAAAGATGGAATCTTGCAATTCAGAAGCTGTTTTTAAAGCAGTTGTTAATACTATTGAAGATAATAATATTTCATGGGCAAACTTAATTAGTGTATTAATGGACTCATGTAACACCATGCGTGGAAAAAAAAAGGGTGTTGAAACCAGCTACGATCAAACAAAGCACCCCACTTATTAGATATTGATGGTGACACATGTCACACAGCTAATAACTGTGCAAAAAATTTGCTTCATGTTTTGATAGATACTTAGAAGATTTGTTTTGATGACATCTATTTTGATATGGAAAGCTGCAGTAAAAGAGAAAATGTTTTCAAAATCTGTGAATCCCTTGCCATTAAAAAACTTAAGCCCTTGAAGAGACCAGACCATAGGTGGGTGTACATTTTATGTGTTTTAGAAAGAATCAAAGATCTGTGGGATGCTCTTACTGCATTTTATTTTCACTACTTGGATAAAATTGATAAAGGGGGTTATTTTTCTTATGTTGAAACTGTATACAATAAAAGAAATATTTCTGCAGCTCAGAAAAAAATTGTTGAAGGGGTGTATTCTTGCTTGCATTCCCAAAAACTCACAAAGGATGCTTTAGCTCGGAAAAAAAGAATGCTAAATGGGTTATTTGTTATGGAAAACAAAACTTTATTGCATATGGCATTATATTCAGCAGTATTACCAGAGTTCAACACATATATTAAATTATTTGAAACAAAAAAACCAATGCTTCATTTAATACATTCCAGTATTTATAAATTGATGGCAAAAATTTTCTCTTTTTTTTTTATGAAGCCAGAAAATATAGAGTGCACATCTTATAATGATTTATTATAAAGGTTGATGTCACAAATCCAGAATTCCATCTACCTAGCAAAGTAATATTTACTGGTGCAGAAGCTTCCACTCTCCTGAAGAAATTATCAAAAAATCATCCAATAGCAAAAGAATTCCATTTCTCTGATGAAAGATTATACTAATACCACACAGCATATGAAACAGAAATTACCCCTTAAAGATTCATATCTAATTAGTTTTACAGCATTAGATCCAGAGCTAAGAGGTAAAACCAGTACAATATTAGCTTTTGAAAAATTATCATCTTTTATGTCCCATATTTTTAGTGATAATAAAAAGTCAAAAGCTGAAATAAGGTTATACCAGAGTGATATTGATATCACCAAAGAAATGCTCTACACATCTGATGAAAGTGGAAATCAAGTCAAGTGTACAATTGATAAATATTGGTCTAAAGATTTTAATTTAAAAGATGATTTCACAAATGATTATAAGTATCCTACATTGGCTAAATTGGTCAAAGCCTGCCTTAGCTGCTTCCATGGCCCATTAGTGGAAAGTGCATTCAACTTAATGGATACACTGGTCATTGACTATAGAACCTCTCTTAAGATTGATTCCCTAGATGCAGTTTTGCAGACTATTAATTATTTGATTTAATGGCTTCTAAAGAAACCTCATGTGAAAAATATGGCTAAAAAATCCAATAACTGATCCAATTCACAAAGATCTCTTACTGAATATGAACAGAAGTTGGAAAACATATCAAGAGGACTTAAAAACATGTATTTCGGATGAGTCACCTATAAAAGTCTCTGAAAAACCTCCTACATTAGCAGAAAAGCAAACTGCTTCTACCTCTGCATGTGCAATTCTAGAGAAAATTTCTTCAACTGTAAATGAGGAAAATAAAAGTCAACCTTCCTGCAATTATGAAGTTCACCACAAAAGAAAGACAAGCCCACAAACATCAGAAAATAAAAAAAAGCAGCAGAAATTAGATAATTTTTTTTTTAAAGAATTAATTCAGGTAATTTAAAATGTTTACATGAAATGTAGTAGTTTATATGTTTGAAAATTTATGGTTATTAATTTTGCAAAAAAAGTAATTCATTGAACTTTTATAATTAAGTCATTCAATACTTCATAATTGTAATTTTTCATTTCTCTCCGCCCCTTCTCGAAACTCCAAAATGTCAGTAGTAAGTCCGTAAAAGTTTCAGGGGATTTTTTGGGGTCCCACAAACACCCCTGAAGTTTACATGTCTTATAAATTTATTTCATTAAGAGAAATAGAATGCAAAAATTAGCTTAAAATGTAATATTTTGTTTTGTTATATCATTAAGTAAATAATTCATTAAATGCAAAATGAGACTAGCATAATTTTGTTCAAATATATTAAATAGTTACTGTTGCTCATTTTATATTGCTTGAAAGAGTCCTTGTAAGCTTATTGTAGCTATAATAATGGTTATAATTGTTAATAGGATAGGAATCTGTTTGTTGTAATCCATGAATTAATACAGGATATCTCAACTAAGGTAGAATTCTTAGGGAAGGGGAATTTATTTAATCTGAGACTAGTATTCTCAAACTAAATGTTTAATTTTTACCATTTTGTACATTTCAGTATTCAAGAAATGCAAGAAACTTTAAAGCTTGTACCAGATCTTGTTGAAAATTTGTATGCATTAAAAGTAGAAAGCAAAGAACATAGTCAGGTGATGTAGTAGATATATTATTCTATTTTATACAACCCTGAAAATTAATATTACAGAAAAAACAATTCAAATTTAATTTCATAAGAAGATAAACATTTAAAAATTTTCATTTTCTTTTCTTTTTCTTTCTCTTTTTTTTTTTTGTAAATTTTAATTCTTTCTGATAAAAATTATTTCAAAATAACTTTGACAGCTGTTTGTAGACCTGAAGTATCTGTTGTTTTAAATTACTGCAACATTAAGCACTTCTAAGATAAAAAAGGTATCTTCTATATTAGCAAATGAAATCTAAGACTGAAAGATACAATTGCTGATTATTTGTTTATTTATTTTTATATCTAATATTTTATCAGTAAGTGATGCTCACGTTTTGTAGTAGTGAGTATGTTCAAATGTAATTGCTTGTATTTTGAGTAATTGTAATGTACAATAGAGCTTAAGTTATACTATTGTAGGTATCTGGCACTCTTATGTGGATCATTTATTCCAGCTCAAGTAAAATGAAGTTTATTTTTAATATTATTAATAATTTTTAAAAGTTTTTGTGTTGATTTAAATAACGTGAAAAGATGATAAAAAACAGTTAGTAAGAAGGAAGAATCAAAAGAAGGTATTAAATTAATTTAGATGAATATTTCTTATATGATGAATGCCCTGCTACAGTTGTGTGGTATATAAATGTTAATGGAAATATAACTATGCCCAGTATGTAGGTCTATTGGTCTGTATTTATTCCATCAATAATTGCTTAGCTGTAATATATACTTCTTTATTAAAAGTGTACTAAGTAAAAATTTGTGCAGTATCATGTCAATTTGTCATCCTTTCAAGGAATTTTTGTATATCTATTTTTTTTTTTTTAGTGTATATAATATTTTTGGAGAATATATGTGATTTTCAAACTGAGATAATTAAAAAAAATTTTTTAATTGTATAATTCTTGTTGAAATAAAAATAATAATAATAATAATAATAATAATAATAAAACCTCCAGAATGTTATAGTAAATAGGTATTTAGTCAAAACACAACATAACAACATTATTTGGATTTTTTAAATGTGTAGTTGGTCTTTTGTCTCAGTTAGTCGGATATTGTATTCTTATTTGAATGGATGGAAAGTTAAATCTACTGCTTTTGTCTGTGGCTTAATTGTAAGCTTTTGTCTGTGGCTTAATTGTAACAAAAAGTTATAGTTGAATTAAAAAAAAATAATTGTTTATTAACTAAGTTGTGAAATTGTCTGTTTTCATTCTTAATTAAGTGAATGAAAATTAGTTTTGCCAAATGATGATGCTATTAGCCAGAAGAAACAAATGCTATCTGTGGTTATCCTTCTGTGGGGAAATATATATATATATATATATATATGTAGGATATTTATTATTGATTAAGCATTTTATTTGGTAATTTTTTATGTTTAATTATTAGTGTAATGAATAAAAAATTGCAAAATTATTTGGATTATGTGATCATAGGCCTGTGGGAGTGTATAATTATTTTTAAAAAATATTTCTGTTCTTTTCTTGAATAAGTAAAGAACGTAGGATCTGCTGTAGCTTTGAGTTTCATTTGCACTGTAGCTTGATTGTACGTGTCACCTATTTTACCCAATATCAAAGCCTTTCTAATTCTTTTTTTTTTCTGTGGGCATTTTTATTGCACAAAATTTTATTTTGGGAAAAAAATACTTATATTTCATTTTCTTGTTATAGCATTAGTCTACATTTTTTAGTTTTTATTAATAGTTTAATAATACCATATTTACTTGTGTATTCTTCCCTTTTTTCCACTAATATTATTGCTTGAAAACAGAAAGTGTATGTATTATTTCATATTCATAGCACATTAAAAAGCACATATAATGGCACACTATTATTATTATACTATGTATTCCAATGAAATTATCAACTCAATAATATTCTTTTTACTTACATAAAATGCTTTCCTATTTGTGTGTACATTTTACATTGCTGCCGTAAGTTTCTGAATCATATGCTGAAAAAAACCCAGAGGAAAAATATGCAAGGAAGAGAAATATCTGAGTGAAATACATTAAGCTTTAGAATTATTTGCTTGAACCAAATGAAAAATATGGCATTATTTGTCTAGTTTTTGCTAAGTCTGAATGCATATAAATTGTATTTAATTTTACACTTGTACTATTTACATTTTTGCTTAAAATTTATCATTTCTGTCTTAAATATTTTTTCTTTATCGCAGTGCTCCGCTGCTCTGGAAAATCTTGAACATATTCTAAATATCCCTAAAAGTGTGCAAGAAGCAATGGATATGATCAATGAAGGAAAGTTACTTGCTGCCCATCAAGTGTACGTATATGCATTTAATTATATGGACTTTTTAGAAGCTGATATATAAGTTGTTATTCAAGGCAAATTGTATCTTTTCTTAAAATAAATATTAAGAGTAAAATACAAAAAAATTATATTGCCGTGTTACTGTTATTTAGCCACATGGACTTTGTTCATTGTGACTATGAGTTTGTTAAAATTTTGCATCTATTACTACCATGGTGCTGAAAAATATTGATTCAATTTAAGTGGGAGCAATCATAAGCAAACTAGTTCTTGCCTTCATTTCTTTGTTTGGATGTTCAGTGTCTTGAATTCCTATTCTGTGTTGTCTTTGGTTCCTCTGTGAAAATTGATGCAAGTGGCATGCTATCAGTGGACTAGAGTAATCCTTTAATATTTTATACATTAATGCTTTCAAGTATTTTTACCTGATATTTAAACATTAAAAGGAACATCATCGTATCTCTTTTGAAGCCATTTGCTTTTTGAGTGTAGTTTGGTTTTTGTGTGAATGAGAGGAGCTTGAGTGCATCTGCTGTATGTGAGGGATGCTAACTTGCTTTTGCATATTCCCCCAGCTGCCATAAACCTGTTAACTACTGGCTACAGGTCATAAGATATGCTTTCTCATGATTCAGTGAAATCAATTTAACTTTTAATGCTATATTGTATTTCCTCTTCATGAAAGCATTCTTATGGTATGTGGAAGAATTGGATGTGAATTATATTGATATTGTACTTCCAAGTTTTAAACTATGGAGGGGAAAGTGGTACAAAAAGCTAATCCTCACACAACAGGTTATGATATAATATGTGTAAGCAATCCCTGAAGTTGTTTTTGATAATGCATTCATCTGCTGTCACTGTCACAACCCTGTAGTCTTGATTGCTTGTATATCATGCTTTTTGGGATAATAAATTTTCAATATAAGGACAAAAAAGTAGATATACTCCACATGTTTTCATTTAAGTTAAGCATGAAACATTATACATGTCATTTGAAAATCTAATGTTATATATTTTCAGAATAATTAATGATATGCAAATTAAGAAGTAATCTCTTTTGTTGGTCGTGCACTCTTTATCAGATAAAATGTTTTAAACTAATTTTTTATCATGTCCATCAGATTTAAAACAGCATATATATTTATTATGGTATGATCGCTTTGACCTCTCTTTTTATCTGATTTTATCAGAGCATACTAATCATTATTGGTTTAAATTTTATCTTTTTTGTTAATCATTATTGTTTTATTGTATTATAGTCTTCATATTCAAAATATAACAGACCCTGTGATAACGATCACCTCCCTAAGATGATCATTTCTGGAAGTGACATTTTTGAGAACATAAACAAACACTAGTATTGAATTTCCTCTCTCAAATCCGAAAAAATTAAATTCCCTGCTACAACATCATCAAGCATATTAGAAAAAAAAAAAAAAAAAAAAAAAAAAGGATGAAATGCGGAAACTCAGTTTTTTGAATAGACGGAAAGACACCTCAGCATTTGGATCGATCACAAAACGCAACATAAGATTTTCCTACGTCAAACCATTGGGTATCCTGACTTCTTTCAGCAACTGTTAAATATCAGGGCATTTCAGAAGTTTATCCTCTCGCCTTACAGTCCAGATTTAGCTAGTGATTCTTATCTGTTTTCTTAACTTAAATTTGATCTGGAGAGATGTAATGATAATGATGTCTAGCATTTATGGAGCATTTTGAGAATCAAGCTTCATATTGCTTTTTCAGAGGCACAGAACTGTTCATTCAAATATGTGAAAAGTGTATCAAGATAAAGAAGATAATGTCAAAAAATAAACTATAAAAAATGGCAGAAACAAAAACCATTTTAATCTTATACAAGAAGAAATGGGTAACACAACTGAATCTTTTGTGGCTAATCAAGAATGATTTGATTCAATTAAAAACATGAAGTAACATTCACAGTTGAGGGTTACTGGAAAAGCATAAGGTTTCCAGATAAAGATAAGTCATTATCTTACATTCACAGTTGAGGATTACTGGAAAAGCAGCTGATTATACAGCTGTGGAAAAATCTTTGCTAATTTTAAAGAAAATTATTACTAACCCATACATATATTTCATAAGAAGAAAAGCGCGTTCTTTGGGAATTGATTTAAATCAACCCCAAAATGTGCTTTTCATTTAAATTTAAAAAATTCATTAAATCTTTGCTACCATTAAAACAACAATGAATCAAAAGCTCGTCTCTTGATAGATAATGCTTGTGGCCTTCAAAAAATTTATAATCTTTAGATACTTGTATTCCAGTGACAGTTGTCTGCTGGCAAATACATCAATTGCACAATTTGTGGATCAGGGCGATTACTTGTGACAGAGGTTTCAGTACTTAATTCAATAAACTGATTCTAATGAAGTAAATATGGTGAAATTTTGGAAAAATTAACAACATTATAGATATTTTATGAAACATAAAGCATGCTTGGAATGAAGCAATTTCAAACTGTATGAATAGTTGAAGTTTGGAAAGTCATTTAGCTAAATATTTGCAGTAATGTTTACAAAACTATGGAGAAGAATGAAATCATTATCATACTTAATGCTCATGAAGCAAGAATGAATGTAGTTAATGAAGAGGACAATTAAAATTTTCCGGTATCTCATGGAGAAAATCGTTTTAGATGAGGTGAAAGATTTGACAATTATATAAAATTATATGAATTTGTCAGAATTTATTTTATATCTTATTAATGGTTTAGAAAATATTGCTGAAAGATTTATCAACGGACATCTTAAGGAAGGCTTTGCAACTGTTATGAAATAATAGGTCAAATTCAGATAGCAGTTAAAAACCAAGAAGTGGAGTTTTAGACTCCATTAGTTGTTATGAAGAAATGCTGACTCAAAGTCAACAAACAAAAACCAATCAACTGTAGGTAGTTTCTTTAATACATATGTAATGGACTAAGAATCCTTTTTTTTTTTTTTTTTTTTTTTTTTGCTCACATATGTAATTTGCAATAAATTATGTTCATATTCATGGTCTCTACATATAATAAAACAAAGAGTTTGTCTGTGTGTGTGTGTCTTTCGTTCGCTAATAGCTAATAACCGCTGCGCTAATAGACCCACAGCTACGAAATTTGGTACATAGGTGCATCTAGACAAGAGCCAGTGCACCTTGAAGCAATTTTTTCGAAATTCGAATTTGAATTTTTTTTATTTTATGTTTTGTGACGAAATCGCGTCATTTTGAGATAATGGGCTAAAGGAAAGCGAGATTTTACTCTACGCACTCCATTTTCACATCGTCATGAAATGTAGGCATTTAGCTATTTTACAAACTTAAAATAAATTTTGTGTTTCAATAAATCAATTAAATATGAATTTATTTAACAGAGCTTAACACCTTTTCAACGGGATTTTTTCTAAAAAAAGTTTATGTTTAAAAATGTACAGTTTATTTTTTCTTTGATTTTTGGACAAGTTAAACTTTTATCCTTGAAACTGCTTTTACAAAAAGAATTTTGGAAAAATGATAATATTTTGTATTTAAAAAAATTTTTTTAAATGAAACTTCCAAGTACACTTCTCACATCTCACATCTTTAGAAATGTGATTTGGGCAACAATTTTCCTTTCTTATTGTTGTTGATAGATTTTTGATGAAATCGCATTATTTTGAATAGTTTCATTCTTTTAGAAATATGGGTTTGGCAACAATTTTTCATCGTATTTCTTATGTCACTGTTTTTAAGAGATTGGTATATTTCATTGTCATTTTTTTTATATATATAATACATTTTTATGGATGTTTTTTATAAAGTTGTTCTGCAGAGTAAAATTGTGCACAGAATTTTTTGTTTTTTGTTTCTTTCATGTCATTTTTGCTTATGTCACTGTTTGTAAGATATTGAAAAGTTCTGAGTGATTTTTTTTAAGGAAACAAAGTTCTTTAACCTCCTTTATACTATTTGAGTTCTTAAGATTTTGCAAAGGGAAGTTGGTTAATTTATTTATTAGGATAATTAATATTTGTATTAAGAGATATTGCTTATTTCATTGTAATTTTGTTATACGTAATAACTTTTTTTATGAAGTTGTTCTGCAAAGTAAAATTCTATGCAATTTTTAAATTTAACATTTGGTGTTTCCTTCAGCCATTTTTCCGATACATTTAAAAGCCAGACGAAGGCTGGCAGCGAAGCTGCTAGTAGTTAATGAAATTAATATTTAATTTAAATTTGATTTTGTAATTTTGATGTAGGTATTTCAGTATTAAGTATTGTCTTTAACCTTATTGTATTTGTTTTCTTTTTTACTTAAACTACTTCATATGACAATTTAAAAAATGCAATTGAAGTTATTGTATATATAATCATATATACAATAGCTTCATTGTTTCGCTTAGCACTTTTTCCAACACATTAAGAGTGTAGACAAGGGTATTAGTGTATATAGTTGAAAGTGTATCGCTTTATTTAAATTTCATCAATAAAATTTTAATCAATGAAATTTCATAAGGAAAAATATAATTCAGAATGGAATTTGCCTAGTTTAAGTTTCATTACTTTATTAAATTTTATTTATTGCTGATAAATTTTTTCCGTAGTAAAGGCTAAATATTAAAAACCAGGAGATCTATGATCTACCAGAAGATGTGATGAAAAACCGGGAGAGTTGGCAGTTATGAAAATGCCAGATGATGACAATGGTAGTTTTAACTCTTGTAACCCTATCTGAAGCTAGCACATTTACTGCATTCGTTTGTTGTCTTGTATACGATAAGTGGTGTCTGTTAGTCTTATTTTCTGTGCCATTTTATTTTTTGACTGAAAGATGAGTGAGAAGAGAAATTCTTTAACTGCAAATTTCAAATTATAGATGATTGTGTTTCCTGAAAATTCTAACAACAGTGTCATTGCTCGGCATTTCTCTGTAAATGAAAAACCAATTTGAAAGCTGGCTGCTAATTTTGTTAACAGATTTTTTGTTTTGGCGATAATGCAATAAACCAGTATTATGAACAGTTTTGGAAATAAAATAACTCATTTCATTTAAATTTAATTTTTTTCATAAACTTAAAAAATACAAAAAATAAAAAAGTGCAATATTTAATGATTTATCACTTTCACTCAGCTAATGGAAAAATACATATGTTTTTTGTGAGATTGTCGAATCCGTAGCTGACCCTCAAAATTTAGCTTTAAAAATTTTTTGAAAAATTCTTGATTTAAACATGGAAATAAGTATTACTTCTGCCATAGATCGTGGTTAGTTACCACCTGGTTAGTACCATTGAATTCTCCTTGCTGAAATGGTCTTAGAGAAGTCTAGGCTTAAAATATCATGGAGAAGACTAGCTTTGAATATCATTGAATATCTTTGGCACACTCTGGAAAAAAGTGTGCAAGCATATCATCCTTATCTGATTTATGGGAAATTCTAGATGCTTAGCAGGCCATACCTCTGAATCCATAGATATCAACTTCCATATATTTGCTGAATCCATGCCTTAAGATATAGCAGTTGTTATTAAGGCTGAAGAAGCAGTAATTTGTTACTAATCAGGTATCCTTATTCAGTGGTACTTCAGTGTATGTGCGTAATATTTTAGAAATGAAGGTCGATGATGTATGTACGAGTAACATTATTAATATTTCCATTTTTTATCTGTATTGCTTCTAAGTATTGTTTAATCCTGAATGTTTTGATTACCTTGGTATGCAGGTTAAAGTATAATTTAATGTAATTTCTTTAAGTTCCTTGTAATGATTATATGTGTTGCTGTTGTATTTGGTTTACTTTGCTTATATAAGTATATTATTTTCTAGTCTTGCAATATTAGAACATTCAAGAGATGATTTATTGTTTGAAATGCATAAACTTGCAAATCAGAGTCCTACAGATCAAAATGTAAGTGTAAAACCTTTAGTGCTTGTATATGTTTCTGGTCTTATAAAACTAATGCAAAATTCATATTGCATGGTAACATTGGACTTAAAGTAGTATTGAATTTGTGAAGTACTGAACTTTGATGCAGAGGTCTTGAGAATACTTCTTTTTTAAAATCCTTAATTAATTGTTTCATTAACCAGTTAACTGTGGCGCCCTCGTTTAAGAGTGTGCCCCATTTTGTATCACCAGAATCGAGCCATGACGAGTATATTCGTCAGTCACAGAGTAAGTTACGCTGGCAAGATATTGGATGAAAAAGACGGGTTTATTTTATAAAATTGAAAATTTTATTACTAATATTTACTTATTTGGTTAACATAAGCATGTATTACATACATATTAAACTAAAAACGCAATAAATTAAATTAAATATTATACATATAAAAGTAAGAATTTAAATTCCTGCTGTGGAGTGATATTCAGTAAAACAGGTTACTATACACAATGGTAACATAAAAAATCGAACACCAGTAGCATGATTCCTTCCTGATCTTACGTTTGTAGCAATGCGAACACTTTTGTGTAGGGTTGTTTTTTTCGATGTTCTGGGTATATAATCTGGAACATGATTAACCTGGAACATGATTCCCGCCTAATTGGCTTATATTGGGTCTAAATGGCCGGGTATGTGTCGATTTATTTCTTTCAATTGGATCCGTCGCAAAAGTGTCTTCAATAAACTTGAGCAAAAAGTTGATAAGTGATAATGTTCCATTATTATTATTATTTTATTTTTTTTTTTTTTGTATAATATAAATGCATTCAGACGCATAATGTCTAAGAAATGGAGAAATATCTTTTTGTACTACTTTTGGAGTCGTTTTCTTGCTGTGGAGTATGTTATGATAATTCTATCCCTCATATTCATTCCACCCATTTTTTTATTATAATCAATCTCTAGCTCTGGTTTCTTTGTTATTATTTTTCTTTTCTCTGTTTCTATTACATTGCTTTATACGCATGACAAGTGTACTCGTCAATACACAAAATTGTGCCGCTTATCCATGACGAGTATACTCGTCAATCACAGTTAACTGGTTAACTATATGAAAAATTTAAAGGTTACTATTTTATGTTACTATTTTTGAAGAATATTTGTGGGCTTAATTTAATATTTCACAACAAAGAGAAGTTGAAAACCACATGCTTTAATTATGTATAACTGTCTTGCATATTCTAAATTAAGAAGAAAATATTTCAAATTTATGAATTCTTACTGCTTCAGCAACATTAAAACTTCAGCCAGAAGATTAAAATAGGACATATAATTTACTTCTAGTCTTTAATGCAGGAGAAGGTATATTTAGGAAATTGTTGTTGACATCAGAAAAGATTATCCTGGTTAATCATTTTCGGTTATGGATGCTTTCTAAGTGTTTTTAAAGCTGAGAATAAGGCTTTTCTCTCAAATCTGCAGTTATTTATTATAGAAAGTCCAATGTAGTTTCTTCATAGTGTTTTGCAGCTGAAAAAATGGGTTTCAGTCCTAAAGTGTTGGACACTTTAGATAATGAAATACAGTAGAAGACCAGAAATCTGCAATGCTTGGAAGCAGAGGCTGTGCAGATTTTAGTCTTTTTCAGATTTCAGGACAGAAGATTTTAGGTTTTTTTCGGATTTCAGGACAGAAAAGATAAATCATGACATTTAGATTATAAGTGCAAAATAAATAAGGAGATTAAGCATAAATAAAGACCCGTAACGCTTAGACAATTCCAAGCGTTATGAGTTTAGTCCTGAAATTTCAGAAGTTCCTCAGAATGTCATGAATAAAGGGTATTTTCTTGATCATAATTTAATAAAAGACTCTCTCACTTTGTCCATTGATTCCTTTCCTTCCAATATGCATCCAACCCATAATTGGATACATTAAAAGCTGGCAGAAATTTTCATATGTAAATAAATATGAAAACCACCCTTCCATGTGGAATTTTACACCCATAATGCTGAGAAAAGTTAATGACTTATGCTATAAAGGACATATAACTATAAAGTAGCGGTTCTCAATCTTTTGACTAACACGTACCATCTAAACAAAAATTGAAAAAACTTTGTACCACTACTACAAAGTACTACTACCACCACCACCACTCTTAAACAAAGCTCCGATCGCGTACATTTACGAGTATTAGAGAAAAAAGTGAGGATGTTGGGGTTTTAATTTTTGAGTTTAATAGTTAAAAATACTTTGCTTCTTTGCATATCATCTATTTTTCCCTTGCGTACCACCAGTTGAGAACCCTGCTATAAAGGATGCATACATAAGGGACATATACAAACATTAAAGACATACACAGTAATAACATATGAAAATAAAAGATATTAATAAAGCATAAAATATTAAATTTTTTTTAAATGTTTCAAACAATTTTCTGACAGAGATTTGTTTTAAAACATTAGGGTGCTCCAGGGTGTTTTCCTCTGCAGCATATTTATTTGCTGAACGTTTTTGCCCTTAGGCTTTCATGTAACATATACCATGTCTCTGCTTAAATCTCTTCATCCAAATGCTACTGAAATTGTATGTTTTCTCTATTATTGAATCAGTGGGAATCTGTTTCCCTTTTCTCTCAGGAACTGTTGTGAAATTTGTACCCAAACACTCTGCTGCTGTCAGAACCGTTCGTATAAAACAGGATCATGATTTCTTCTCATGCAAAGATTTCCACTTTTAGATTCTGGTGTTAGAGTTCTTGTTCCTGTAAAATTTCAACAGCTATTCTTTTTTACTATTTCATATATTTTATTATTATTTCATCTGAAAGAAAAACGGCTGTGTAGAGGAGGCATTCAGTATTTTCGGATGACCTATAATAATTAAATAATTTAAGATGGTTCATTAGCTAATTTTGGATGAGCAGAGGAGCAGAAATGCAGTGGTTTTTCTAGGAAGTTGAATTCAATTGAGATCTGATATACCTTCTTTTGATAATGTTCAATCAGATTTTGATTGTATTTCTCTTCCTTTTCTTCTTTTTTATGTTTTTTTTTTGTTGTTTTCAAGATTTCTTCTGGTTTAAAATCTCTGAGTTGAATCTTTTTACACTTTTTATTGGGAGATTTCGGTATTGTACTGGTTTTAAATTTCATTTCTTTTATGTTTTTATGGTGTTAATTTAAAATTTATTACTTTTTTGTTTATAATTATTTAATTTTACAGCAACATTTTGTATGGAAAGGATTTGGCATATTTTTGTTGCAAAAAAATTTCTGTAAATCTGTATATATTTATAGTAATAATAAATCCATATGAATGTCTACCGAAATGGCAAAAATATTATGTTACTTATGCAATCCAATAATAACAGCAAAATTACTGTTAATTACTGTTAATTAATCTTTACATATTCCCCCCTGTTTTTTACTACTTTTATTGTCCGAAAATCTCCAAGAACGTGATTACAGTAAGAACATAACAAAAAATAGTCATGGATAAAGTAATCACAGTATTGTTTCTTTAAAAGAAACCTACATTCCAATAAAAAGTTGTAGTAATATTAACATTACAATATTTAATAAGATATTTTTATTTCTACTTCCCTGTAAATTGACTCTCTTATTGCTGTAACTGCTACTCCTTAGCACTGAAATCATCCATAAGTAATTAGAGAAGGTGAATATGCTGCTGAATTAGCAAAAATTATAGACTAAATATCAGTTCATGTTTGCTTTGTTGTGATTGGACAGTTCATGCATTAGGCTGACAGTTCAATAGTTAGAAGTGAAAGGTTTGGCATGATTTTGCAAGTAGTTTGCGAGGGTTTGTCTTTGTTAGTAAGATGAAAACTGTCACTGCATTGATGAACCTGTTTTAAATTTTAAGGTGGCTTGTTCTCTGATTGCAGTGAGGAGAAAGAAAATTATGGAAATATTTTTAAAATTTTCAGAACCGGGTGCTAAAATGGAAGAAAAAATATGCTAGGAAGTACGGTAATTATTAAGAGATGAAATGCAGTGCAATTCAAATTGAAAAATTCAATTTAATTTCATCGATTCTAAAACTGATGAAATCAATTAAATTGAGAGTGTTTGTTATTTCTATCTAGAAAATTGATGTAAAAATATGCAGTTAAACACACATGCAAAAATGTATTTAATTGTATTATGATCTCGGTAAAATGTGTAAAAAAAGCTAATTTGTGAAGCAAAGTTAAATTAACAATAATTAATGTTATATTAATTGTGACAATAATTTTGCAGATGCTAAAACATTATTTTTCTGATGTCGAGAAACTATCAGAGGAAATAAGCAAGCAAATATGGCTAATTTTGCGTAGGACACTTAATTCTGTGAGAAAAGAACCCAAAATCATTGTCAGTGCTTTAAGAATAATTGAACGTGAAGAGAATGAAGATGCTGCTGCTATTGCTTGGCAAAAAAGAAGTGGTTATATGCCTGTAGGGAGGCCCAAACAATGGAGAAAGCAAGCATTTAATGTTTTGAAGCAATCAGTTTTAGAAAGGTAAGTAATCTAATTCTTTGTTTTATTTTATTTATTTATTTATTTTTTTTAAATATGGTGCCTTTATAAGGAATATATATATATATATATATATATATATATATATATATATATGTTAAGAGAATATCTTTAAATTTGTATTAAATTCTACATGCAAATAAATAACTGAGGACCAGATATACAGATGTAACTAGTGGTCAAATAATTACTGATTATAGTACTATTATAGATAGTATTTATGAAAAAATTGTAATATAAAAGAAAAGGAAAGGAGGTCAGCAACACAGTGCAACCAAAAATATAAGTCAAAATTAGCTTCCAAAACAACAGCAGATTAGTAAGCAATGTAGCTGTTTGTAACACAGGTAATGGTCCTTTATTCAGCTTGGTGTCTGTTCTCAGATGGATGAAGGCATGACTTCTCATGCAGCACACAACCTGTGAGATCTAGATCAAGAGAAAAGATTAAAAGTAAGGATAGTTATGATAGCAGTTTATGGTTGTATAATATTCTGTTGACTTTAGATCTTTGTGTACTAAAGTATTACCCTGTTCACCCTGTTTTCAAGCAGTGCATTATTTAGCACCAGGTGTGGATAAGCACAGCATAGCAATATGCTCATAATATCTACACTTTCCTTTTATGTAACCCGATCAATTTTCAATAGGCCATGTTTGTTTTTATGAATTGGTGATGTAAAGTAACTCTTATTGCTATATTTTGAGTTCCATTTTAGGGAGGGGGAGAGTAAGGATTAAAACTTATGACCTCTTGTCTACAGAGCAGGAAGCAGTGCATTATTATTATTTTATTTTAATTATGGGATCCACCATAAAAATAAGTGTACATTATGAACACGATATGGTCGGCTGAATATAGTCAAGAAAACAGTAATAGATTGGAACAATTATTTGTGAAACATTTGTACTCATAGCATTCTAAACAAGGCTTCGCATAAAATCAGAGAGCCTAAAAAAATAATAGAGGCTGATGAAAACTTTTTTACGAAGTGCAGACTGGAAGTGGGTCGAATACTGAAAGTTTTTGAAACAAAATGGGCTCAGTTCCTTCAGAATTCTGCAAGAACAATTGGCACAACTTTAGCGAGATCTCCACCAATTTTCTTAGTTTGATGGTAGCCAATTTTCACAGTCAATGGGATAACACTTAAGTACCAGTCTTTGACATCAAATGCTATCAGTTAAGTATGGCCATATGATTGGGTCAAAAGAAACTGATTGGTCCAGTCAGTGTAATACCAGCATTGAGTTAAAGTGACCGAGTAGTCTACCAGTGTTGATGCTAGTGGCTTACAGAATGCATAATCTGACTGAAGTGTGCATTGGATGACCTAACAAAACAACAGAATTCCAGGCCAGAAAGCATATAAATTAACATTAACTATGTCATTTTTACCATTTATAGCCATATGGAATCTATGAGGTATATAGAGTGCTGAAATATCTATGCTGATAATTTGTGAAAAGGGAATTGCATTTTAGAAAGCCGTTCATTGTCTAATTCTGAGCTTTATTTTGGCTATTTGTGGGAAAGGAGCTGCATTTCAGGAAAACATTCAGCATTGGGATCACTTGTAGCAAGCAATATCAGATATCTGATTGATTAGCATTGAATTGTATACAATCGGTTTTCGGAGATGAGTCGTGGGTATTATGGGGTGTTGACAACTGTCATAAGCTTGTATGAAGTAAAACAACCAGTGCACATAATCATGTCTTTGCTGTTGAACAACATGAAGCTCCCGGCACCAGGAGTGATTTATCTTCAGAGCTAATACCTAATGACTATTGGACATACTTAGTATTCTTATTATCATCTTCATGATGACATTCTTGATCTGTCGGTGATCATTGCATAAATTATTTTTCAAGATAAAGCAAAATATATTTTGTTGTCTTAGGATTTGCTATGTTATGCTTCCTTCTAGCCCAACTTAAAATTTCCCTGAGTGAACATGTTTGAAAGATGAATGAATGCTTGCTGTCTAAGCTCATCCTGTAGTTTTGATGAATGGCTAATTTAAGCTATATCTAATGTTCTATATATATCAGGACTCCACAAATTACATGTTTCTGCTCTGTGCCTGATAAATCCTTTTGTTTGATCTACAGGTGGCAATATAAGCATATTGATTTCTTTTTTTTTTTTTTTGCTGGCTCTAGTATTTCTTCGACTAAAAATTGTGTTATACATACTTTCAATTTGGTGAATACTGTTTAATGATTCAGAATATAAACAAAGAAATACTAACTGAAAACTGAAATTTTAATGTAGTTGTATAATTTAAATCATGTACACTTTTTATTTATTATAGGCTTTTCTTTGGGCTAACATGCATTATTTTCTTTCACCATTATTGCTTGCTTTGGGGCAAAATTAAGATTATTTTTTTTGAAATAAAGTGATTATTTCTAATACTGCATTATGTCTCTGAATAATTTTAGAATTATAGAGGTATTCATAAGATATTGAAAAATTAATATTTGTAAATATATGTTTGGTACATGTGATCTATATTTAGTACTAATTTAATAATATATTCAGTACTATTATAATTGCATTAACAGTTATATCTATGCTGAATTACAGTTAGAATTCAATTCATGCTTAAGTTTTGCACACTAAAATTTAAGTATGTATTCTAGCAATTTCAGTTATCTAAATAAGTTGTGGTTCTATTTAATTTGAATGTTTGAAGTTTTATTTTATTGTAAAATGCTTTTTTTTCATCATTTATATATATATATATATATATATATATATCTTCATTTCTAGAATTGAAGGAAATCAATTTGAAGATCGTTCTGGAAATAAAATGTGGTTAGTTACACATCTTGAAGTTACAAGGCAAATAGTTGTTGAAGATTTAAGAGTTGTAAAAGTGTGTAGTATATTTTATGTTTGTTTCCATTTTCACAAATTTTTTACTGAATTCACGAAATTCTGTAATCATTAGATACTTACGTAGATTAGCAAAAGGGGTGTTGAAAAATATGTCTAAAATTCATTCATTCTTCTTCTTTGCTGTGGTTCAAAATGGTCATTAGTTGTTGGATAATTAAATAAATGCTATTCTAGAATTTTTATGGACATTTTTCACTATTTGAAAATTTCCATCATGTTTTATTTAGTGTTGAATCCTTTTCTATTGAGTTAAAATTGACAACAGTGTCTCTAAATTAAATTTCTAAGAAAAAATGAATCTGTTGTAAATTATATCATAAGCATTAAATTATTAGAAAGCATAAGATGTATTTTAATTGTTAACTGAAACTAAATTATTGATGCCAGTTAAATTAGAGTACTTAAAAATTAAGCATTGATTGCTATATAGATACATGTATGTGTAGTCAAGCACATATCGCATGTTTTTCTGTCTTTTTTAATTTATTAGTGCTAATATTTCATTACAAATCTATATCCAATTTTAGTAAGAACATTTATTTCAACTTGCAAATGTTTCTTCATATCTATTTGAAATTACTACTGTGTTAATTTGCAGTTTAAGCTGCAATATGGTATGATTTTAGTTTTTAAAAACAAATTTTTAGCACTGAAGTAAATTTTACTGTGACCATTTGTTTAAGTAACTATTTTTGTTTTATATATGCTGCTTTATTTTCAGAATGCTTGTGAACCATGTTTCCCTCCAAAATATCAAATATTTGATGAATATGTCAAAATGTATCATGAGTGCCTTACAAGACATGTAAGTAAAATATTATTAAATTACTTGGAAATAAAATAATTCATACAGTTGGCAGATAATGCAATGCAGTCAAATACTGAAAATCCGCCGAACTGAAATCCGGCAACTCCTGAAATCCGCATAACCTCTCAGAATATAAACATTCAGTTTATAGGTTCCGGAAACCGCAACATTGAGTACGAAATATCGAAGAAAAAAATACTTACCGAATAATGACGTCATAATTACTGAATAATAATGAGTCAAAATGGAAATACCAAATTATTGATATAAAAAAGTTAAAAAAATAAGTTTTTTCCCCCTCTAATCTGCATCGTGGTAAAAAAGTAGACGATTAACTCAACTCTTCTTTCAAGTTTACGATTCACGTTGTTGTATTTTCTGAGCTTTGTTATTTCACAAGATTGTCTGGTGCTGCCTTTTTTTTTATCCGGATATTTTGTGGATAAATTAATATTTTTAATTTCAGCTCTTTTTAATATAATGGCAGATAAGAAACGCACTCGTGATTTTACTGCTTGCAACGATGAAAAACGTAAACACATTGCATTGACGGTAATGCAAAAAGTGCAAATTCTGCAAAAGATGGAAGCAGGTGCTACTTCTTGATTTATAGCAGAATGGTTTGGAATGGCGACATGATTATGTATAATATATGGAAAAATAAAGAAAAGCTGTTGAAATATTACAGCAACAGTGATTCTAACACCGGAAATTTTTGCATGAGGCGAAATCGGGAAACCTCAATGCTGTGTACGTATAATACAATGAATAATATAATCAATTTATAAGAGTAATAATAATTTAATGCATATAATAAATTATTGCAATAAATAATTAATTGTATCTAATACGCCTTATTCATTTTGCACTTTTTGTTCGAATATTATAATTTATCTTTTCTGTCCTGAAATCCGCAAAATCCTAAAATCCGCACAACCTCTGGTCCCAAGCTTTGCAGATTTCTGGAATTCTACTGTATTCTGTTTTCTTAAGTTCTGTTTTTTACTTTCTTGTACAAAGAAAAGAAAGTATTGTAATCATGAAAAATTTTGAGTATCATACTTCAATGAAAATGTCTATTTTGACTGTTCCCAAATCCGTTTGGGTGATTTTTTTGTGTGATGTCTCTATGTATGGACAGGAAGAAATATTTTTTTCAAAATGGATTGTAAATTAGATTCAAAAGAGATTTTTTTCACGCCATCCTTACCTATGTCTGTCAGCCAGTCAGGCAGGCAGGCAGCCAGCCAACCATCGACTGGATGATTGGTAGAAGGAGGTTGAAATATTGTATATAGGACTGTTGTATTCTTTAATGAACATAAAAAAGTAAAACAAAAAGAAAGGCTTTTATTTTGTTTTTAAATAAATTCAACATTTTTTTGTAGTAAATACATTTTCAAAATGATGAAAATTAAATTCAAAAATCAATATTGTTTGTTTAATAAGGAAAAATATTCTCACAAAAATAATTGGGCACTCTTAGTAACATCCAAAAGTGGCAAACACTTACACTGTTTTTGCTTCTTAATAACTTGTGAGATTACTTTTACACTTGTTTACTTTATTTAATCTTTTTAATCTTAAACTCCTCAAGCTTTTTTTGTTATTTTTAGACTTATTTTACGTTACTTCTCTTAAATCACTACTTTCAATTGCTGCTGCGAAGATATGCTCTGTTTTCGAATTTTCAGTTCTAGTTCCTGTCAAATATGTTCAACAGGATGAAGATCTGGCGATTGGACTGGTGCCATAATTACTTCTGAACACTTATATAATAGCCAGAGTTTAACATTGTGGACAGTATGCTTTGGATCTTTGTCCTCGTAGAATTAAAACTATTTTGTATATTAAGTTTTTCTGCTGATGATGCCAAATTTTGCTTCAAGATGTCAAGGTACTTATACTGATCCTTAATACCATCTTTAAACTCTATATTATCAACATCAGAAATGTGTCCTAGAGATTACCATACCATCACTCCTTGTCTGCCATGTTTAGGACTTTGTGCTAAGTTTAGCTTCTGAAATTCTTGTTTGGGTTTTCTCCACACCAGCTTTCGTCTGTCTGAGCCGAAAATGTTAAATTTGCTTTCATCAGCTAACAAGACCGTTTTTCAAGTAGTTAGCTGCCTTTGTTTCATCAATTTTTGTGAAAGCGAGTCAAAATGTTAAATTTGCTTTCATCAGCAAATAACATTTTTCTCCAGTAGTCAGGTGTCTTTTTGTTTCATTGATTTTTGTAAAAGTGAGTCAAAGTTTTTTTTTTTTTTTTTTTTTTTTTTTTTTTAAGTGATGTAAAATTTTTTTGCTACTTTCCCATGATATCCCACAGAGCACATTACATTTCTTACAGTTTTTGGATTTACACATATTCCATATAATTCACGAAGTTTCACAAAAAATTTAGAAGAGCTTGGTCTTCCTTAGAATAAAACATTTCATTCCATCAGATAACTTAGATGGTCTTCCAGGTCTTCTTCTGTTTTGAATATGATTCAGTTTCATATAAAACTTAATAATATCAAAACTGTAGAATTACTTAAATCAAGTAAATAGACAATTTTTGTAATAGATTTCTCTTTCTTTGATACAAATCAATAACTAAACTGCAGGTTTCTAATGATGTTTCCTTTAGTGACCAAGCCATTTAAAAAAAAAAAAAAAAAAAAAAAAAAAAAACATTAAAATAACAAATATATTCTAAAAAGAAAATTCAAATTATAAAACAAATGATTTTTGGATTTTTGCTTAGTTTCTTTATCCAAACTAATTCCATAAAATTTTGTTTTTTATTTATTGCAGGCAATTTTAAATAGAAATTATGAATGAAAATGTCATTATGAATGAAAATATGAATGAAATGTTTGTGGTATCTTTTTTTCCCATTCAGTGGTAACATTACTTTTAAATTTACTATTTAATTTTTTCTAATTTATTTAATACAAAGAGAGAGCTAAGAAAATACATATTCGAAGGGAAATATTCTTTATTATTTTATTTTAAAGCTTTTCTCCTATTACTTACAGTGACCAATCATTTTTGTTAGACACTGTATCTATATACCCATGCCCTTACCTGGCTCAAAAGTCCATACCCAGCCTTTATTTTTACAATCGTTGGTTGTAGGCATATGCTTGCAATAACAAAAAAAAATTTAAATGATGAAAATATTCATGTTTTGAAAACTTGAAATTAAAAAAAATTAATTTTAGACAATATAAAAAATTTTAAAAATTGACTGCGATATTTAATTTTGAAATTTGCAGTTTTTGATATTGTTTTTAACTTGCCTTGAGGGATCGGTTAATTTAGAATAATTCGAGGAAATAAGATTAAAATGAAATGTAGCAAAAAAATGTGTGTAATTTAATAGGCCGTGCAAGGAAGTCGTCGTGGTGTTTATATCAGATTTTTTATAATAAGTAATTAGACTTTTCTCATTTCGAAAATTTAAACGTATGCATGAAAATTAGTTTTTTATTTTTCATTTCTATAAGATAATAATGATTTTAAGTACATTAATTTTTATTGTGCTTTGAGAATTGCATTTTCTTGTTGCTAGATATATTTATTTTGGAAAGAAAGGGTATCTGTTATTTGAATATTGAGCAGAATCATGTATCTATGATAGGTTTGAATAATTCATTATGCTATACTGTTATTTGTATATACATGGGTTATACAAAATATTGGAAGCATTTAAAAATAATATTCTGAAACTCATTGAGAATGATGTTTTCTCCTACTTAAAATACCCTTAGATACATTTAATCTTTCAAAAATTCTGCCTGAACCAGTGGCAATATTGCAAATTATGCCATTATCCAAAGCAAAAAGGCTCTATTTGGTTCCTGGTGCAATTAGTCAGACTGAGTGCAAGAGATGCTAGTGTTGATATACAGTCAAATATCGAAAATCCGCCACCTTGAAGTCCGCCAACTCCTGAAATCTGCGTTGCCTCTCAAAATATAAACATTTAGTTTATAGGTTCTGGAAACCGCAACATTGAGTACGAAATATCGAAGAAAAGAAGAAAAAATACTTTCCGAATAATAACGTCATAATTACCGAATAATAATGAGTCATAATGGAAATACCAAATAATTGACATAAAAAAGTTAAAAAAAAATAAGATAAAAGTTTTTTCCCTCTAATCTGCATCGAGGTAAAAAAGCAGATGATTCACTCAACTCTTCCTTCAAGTTCACAATTCACGTGTGGTTGTATTTTCTGAGCTTTGTTATTTCACGAGATTGTCTAGTGCTGCCTTCTTTTTTTTAATCCGGATATTTTGTGGATAAATTAAGAATATTTTATTTTAAATTTCAGCCCTTTTTAATACAATTGACAGATAAGAAACGCACTCATTATTTTACTTCTTGCAACGTTGAAAAATGTAAACACGTTGCATTGACGGTAACGCAAAAAGTGCAAATTCTGCAAAAGATGGAAGTAGGTGCTACTCCTCGGTTTATAGCAGAATGGTATTTAATTGCGACATGATTGTGTATGATATACAGAAAAATAAGGAAAAGCTGCTGAAATTTTACAGCCGCAACGGGGATTCTAACACCGGAATCCGAAATCGGAAATCTTTGCATGAGGCGAAATCTGCAAACCTTGATGCTTGTACATATAATACAATGAATAATATAATCAATTTATATATATGTAATAATAATTTAATACATACAATAAATTATTGCAATAATGTATATAATAATTTAATTAAATGTATCTAATACACCTTATTTATTTTGCACGTTTAGTCCGAATATTATGCTTTATCTTTTCTGTCCTGAAATCCGCACAACATCTGGTCCCAAGCTTTGCGGATTTCTGGACTTTTACTGTATTAACTTTTGTGATAATGTAATGTAAAATCAAGAAATGAACTCATTTGTTCTCACTGAAGCTGCAAATAAAGATTCATGTTATTAAATCTTCAAAATTGGATAGAAAATTGTACCTCATGAGTAGCTATTTCAAAAAAGTTTTATATGAACGATGTGTGCAAAACTTCTGTTATCTATATTATCGACATTCCAGCAAAAAATAATTTTGTGCCTTTCAGTTTTCTTCTGTGATACAGAAGTCACACTTTGGGATCCTAAAAAATTTAACTTTTTTTTAAATGCCAGAATTGCTTGTATTTTCTTTACAAGTTATATGATTTTTATGCAATTGCTATTTTTATTTTAGCTTTTTATGTAGTCTATTTAAATATTATTATTTTGACTTTAGTTACATGATCTTATTGGAAACAAATTAGAAGATAATGAATATATCACATTATTGACATGGATAAGTGCCTATGGGTAAGCATATTTCATATAAATTTTTAATTAAGATGTTTATTTATGAAGTTGGTTTTATATTTTTCTTAAACTAATAGTTTTTTTTTTTAAACTTTTATGTCCTTGCACAAAGTAAAGGAAGTATTGTAATCGCGAAAATTTTCGAGTGCCACATTTCAACGAAAATATCCATTTTGATTACTATCGAATGCAATGTAATAATGATTTTACATGACATCTGTATGTAAGGACAGAATAAAAAATTCTTCTTTCCAAAATGGGTTGCAAAAAGGATTTAAAAAGGATTCAGAAGCGATTTTTGTCATGACATCTGTACGTATGTATGTATCTTGCATAACTCAAAAACGAGTAGCCTCAGAATGATGAAATTTTGTATATATAGGACTGCTATAACATGCAGTTGTGCACCTCCCTTTTTGGTTAATTTCCAAAAAGATCGCACCAGAATTATATATAAGATAAAAGAAAATGCAAATCAAAATTATAATTTAAATGCTTCTTAATTGTTCATTTTAAATTTGGTTACATTATCTCTAGTTATAACTTTCTCTAAACTGCATCATATCTGAAAACGTATTCCACATTATGTCATCTTGAATTTACTGCATTGCCTATAAGTTTTAGCCAATCAGATTAATGAAATATTTTACTATCAATATTATGGCAATCCTACTACCCTCCTCTTTCTCTGCCTATGCTTACTTGATGAAGGACATCTCTTGCTTGTCTGCTTTGTTAAAAATGTAATGCGCCATCATCAAAATTTTGGGGTGCAGAATGGTCACTGTTGAGAATTGCAACAACTAATAAAGATATATCTAGAATATCAAGTGATTTTTGTGATTCTTCAAAAGTTCCTAACTGCCAAATTAATGACATATGTACCCTATATACATATGTGTACCCACTCTGTTACTCAGCTACATGAGCTCAGTATTTTTACTTACTTGTAGGAAGTAAAAAGGAAGTATTGTAATCGTGAAAAATTTCGGGTATCATATTTCAACGAAAATATCCATTTTGACTGCTATCAAATGCAAGTTAACAATGTTTTTGCGTGACATATGTACATAAGGACAGAATAAAGGACTCTTTCCCTTCAAAAAAATTATAAAACTGATTTAAAGTGAATTCTGAAGAGATTTTTTTTCGTGGCGTCTGTACATACGTTGTACGTATCTCGCATAACAAAAAAATGGGTATCCTCTAAACTTTGAAATTTTTTACATAAGACTGCTATAACATATAGATATGCACCTCGTATTTTGGTCGCAATCGGCCACACCAAACGTATATAAATATATGTATATATATATATATATATATATCCACTCTGTTAACTGGCACAGTGATCTCAGTTTCTTTACTCTTATATGTTTGTAAATTGTGCTATTTTGCTTTAAAAATAATTGAATTATATTGTTCTGGTTAAGATTTGTATGCCTTTAGTTAACCTGCATTGCAATAATTAAGGAATTGTCGACAATTTAAAAGTTTTTTAAGTGCGACTAAGTCTAATTTTTGATTACCATGGCAGCCATGTTTGTTTGCATTTGAAACTTGGCTGAATAGTGGATTTGTTTGCCAATTTAGAGAAACTAAGCTTCACAACAACAAAGTAATGTCTTCTTTTATTATTGCAATTTAAATTGTGCTTAATTCATTCTGGAATTAACATTTAAGTTATTAGCTTGTTTTGGCATAGAAACTGTAATTTTAATAGTAAAAATTATTTTTTAAACTGTATTTGGTGTTTTATGTTTTTCTCTATCTTTCAAAATTTTAATGAAAATATCTTGAATTTTTATGTATTTTTGCCTTGCCATAAAGTGAGAACTTAATTAACTATTTATTTTTTTATTTGTTCAATTTCTTTTATACATCGTTTTAGATTTATTATAGTATTTGAATAGAACTTGTGTTTGTTCTTCAGATGATATAATTTTTCTGCACTCCTAAATTCATGAGTTTGAAGGCTTGAATTTTTGAATGAATAATGATTCAATTTTTGAAGATTTGAGGAGAAATTTCATCAGTTGCGAGAGTGGAAACGATGGAGAAGCCTGTGTTCAGACGATAACAATATACCAGAAAATTTGATAAGGTTCCTATTAAGGAAAGTAACCAAATTACTATCGCCATCTACTAATAAAAGGTGAAATCAACTACGAAGTTCTTTCTTTAAAAGCTAAAGAAAATAGTTTAATTATAATTAGGATCATTAATTAAAACTTCAAAATTTTTACAAATGTAAAACGCGGTTAGAACACCTAATTCGCCAAAAAAAGATGGTTTTGAGTAATTTTGAATGCATTTTATTGGAAGACATGATTTTTTTCACAAGCAATGCAGGCAATAGAACTTTTGTGTTGTAAGATTCGTGAACTAGCCAAGAAAAGCAAAACTTCGCCAACTTGTGGACACTGGCTCAGAGCCGTGAATAAAACTTCACCTAAGTAACAGTTACAGTGACGACTTTGTAAGAGTTAGTGTAAGGCGAGGATG